CATTTTTGTGGCCTCCTCTGGCCCTGCTCCAACAGGTCCATGTCTTTCCTGTGCTGAGGACCCCAGAGCTGGACGCAGCACTCCAGGTGGGGTCTCACCAGAGCGGACCAGAGGGGCAGGATCACCTCCCTCGCCCTGCTGGCCACGCTGCTTTTGATGCAGCCCAGGATACGGTTGGCTTTCTGAGCTGCAAGTGCACATTGCTGACTCCTGTCCAGCTTTCCATCTACCAGTATTTCCCAAGTCCTTCTCCACAGAGCTGCTCTCAATCCCTTCATCCCCCAGCCTGTCTTGATACCAGGGGTTGCCCAGACCCATGTGCAGGACTTTGCACTTGGCCTTGTTGAACCTCATGAGGTTCACATAGGCCCACATCTTGAGCTTGTCCAGGTCCTTCTGGATGGTATGCATATGATGACGTATATAAGCACATCTTCTATGCAAGTTGAAATACGTGGTGTAAATAAAACAACGAGCCTCTTAGCAGGACAAGTGTCACAAGATAATCCTGTATGGCTTCAGTCTGTGGCTGACAGCCCATCCACTTGCTGAGTCAAAGGAGAGAAGGGGTGAGACAGCTTTTCTCTGTATATATTATGCCATTTATATCAGCTTCCTATTGCTCTGAGACTAAAGAAATTTGGCTTTTGTCAGACAAGCAGCAAATAAAACACATGCAGAATATCTGCTGAGTAAGAAGCAAGATTTCCTAAGCAGAATGTCACACTAGGCTACAACTAAATAGCAACAAAGAGCCCAAATGTTGAACTGGAAGCCATCAATTTGTGATTTACCCTCACACACAGCTTTGTGCTCTCATGCTATTTCTCTTTCAGTGCTTATTTTTGACCTTCCCCCTCTGGAGTACACCGTTGACATTGAAGTAAGCCTTATGGATTCATCTTTTCTGGAGCCAATCAAAGAGTATATCAAAAACATTAATCTTCCAGTTTCAACAAATATTTCAAATGTAGAAATGACAGTTTCAAACATCAACATTACAACAGGTGGGTTAGTTATTTATTTTTATATTCTGAGTGACATGCTTTTTTGCCAATATTTGATCTCTCCCAGTTTTACCATCCATCACGCTTAGAAATCAGCAAAACTCAACTGTCTCTGCTGCCTACTGAAAGACCCACCAAGACTGAAGCTCTAGCACACAACAGCAGGTTTTGTTATCTGCATCCCACCACTCCTTTTTATATAATGTTGGCATTAGCAATAGCCCTGAATGCTTTTCTTTTCCCAAGGAAAGGACAAAGCCAGAGGAAGCCTGAGCCGAAGGATTTTGCTCCGGTTTGACTAACAAGCAGTCTGAGTTACTTTCAAGTTTCAGGAAGCTGCGATAGCAGTTATCAGACTGTTTACTTCCCTTCACTTGTATTTGGAACGTAAATCGCTGTAAGAGGCTGTACTCTGACGCTGGCAGAGACAGGCTGCATGAGAAGCAGTCTTTTCCTGATACAACTCATGAAACATACTCTTACAGGGCAAGATATCAGACAGGTTTTATTACGAGTGTAATGGTTGTGCAGTGTCACATCCAAGTAACTAATACAGTGGAGGATATACAAGCACACCAAGCATTTACAACAGTAGAGGAGGAGATTTCATACCTTCTTATCACTGGCCCATAAAGCAGTGAAAGGAAGAGTTCATCAGTTCTCAAAACAACATGCAAATGAATCTTTTAAAGGCCTTCAGGGTCACACGCAACATGTAAAAATCACTTTGTTAATACCTTACTTTGCCAACAGCACATTAAGAGCAGAAAAACTTACACTGAAGTGGGTTTTGTTTTGTTTTGTTTTTTATTAGAAGGAATGTTTGTCTTTAAAGCACTTTGTGATAATTTTTTTCTCTCATGCAGCATCTGTCAGGATACAGTCAGAATGACACAGCATCTCACTAGACACCGGGACTTTGAATGACTATTACATGCTCTTGCAATCTTTAAAAGACTATACATTTGCTTTCAGCCAGGCAATATAGAAATATCCAATCTGAAAACTATCATAGGACCCTGGCCAATATGCCAGGTAAATTTTTAGGATCAGGCTTCACATCTCCACCCAATTATTTAAAAGTAATTGATCAGACTTATTTCTGTACCGGTCTGGTTCCCATTTCTGGTTAGTCATTTATATTAGTATAGTAAGATTTGCAAGGCGTCAGATCATCGTGTTTGCATCGTTCAAGTGAACTCACAAGAAGGGTAACATTTAGTTGAGATCACTGGCATAAAGATACAGCAGGGTAAACATATATCATGCTATACATTATGCTCTGTTTACCATTCTCATAGTATTTCTCTGTCTGTCTGACACTAGTCTGTCTGCCCAGTGAGGAGAACAATAGTTGTTGTTCTTGTGAAAATGGATATGCCTGGCCAAGTGCGGTGTGTCGTGACTTGATAACCTGCGCATCTGTCAGCCTAGCACCTGACCGGCCCTGTGGCTACATGAGGCAAATGCCTTTCTACGGGGCTTACTGTGAGCCTCAGACTGAAGGTAAGGAGAAACAGTGCTGAACTTCAGCATTGTACGACTTGTATATTGGTTAGAAGATGGAATAGTGTTAAAGGTGTGATAAAGCAGCACATCAGGACTGACCTGGCTACCACATTGCCCATGAATGTGGAAAGTGTGTAGAGATGCTCTAGAGCTCTTCTCTTTGTGACATGGGTCCACCTTGACCCAAGTACTTGCAGATGTTTAGTGCCATACTGGAGCCCCAGCTGCTGGAATCACTCACATGCCTCTTTGGGACTTTCAGCTTCCGCTAAGCAAAGAGTTTCATCTCATCATATTTTCAACAGAGGAACTTACAAATGTGACCAAAGTGTGCCATAGTGCTCAAGAGAAGAGAAGGAACAAAAAGCCCCAGCATGTACCTTTTGTTTGGTTTTATTTTATGACTCTCGTGACAAGGTGCCCATGAGTTTTTAGAAACCTGACTGATGACTGGACACTTAGGCTTGGCAGCACTGGGATGGAGCACTACCTGTTGTCTCTGCAATCCAAGACAAACCCCCCCAAGGCTCTGCCTTTGCTGGTGGTGGAGCAGCATGCAGAGATACCCAGAGGCAGCCCTAGAGCTGGAAGCAGTCCAGTGCTGTCAGCATGCCCGTTCTAATCAACTCTGCTTAGAGGCAATCCTTTTATCACAGGGCAGCTTCATATCAATACTGCTGTACTATTTCCAGGACTAGAGCTAGTATCTCTTCCATGTGGAAGCCGCACACCCCTAAGACGTCCAGGGCCATGGGTAAAATGTTCCTCTACCACATCGTATGGACATGTCCTTAAATGGACTCAGCTTAGAAAATTCCAGTATCTCTCTAAGCATTTTATGCTCTTTTGTGCCCATTGATGGGTCTTCACCCATAATATTACCCTCCCAAAGTCATTGAGGATTTTTCCATTCATTTCAGTGAAACATAGGTGAAGATTCATCCTGTGTAACTTTCACTATGTAAAAATTAAGTATCTGATAAAAGTTATTAATCTAAATTCTCTGTAACTGGAGCAATGTAACAATTCAACCATTGTAGGAAAGCTGTCTATCACCTTCAGAATGTATCACCTTTTGAACATGTCTACAGCTTTGCATCAGCTAGAGAGAGAGTCTAGATATCTAGCAGATGCCAGGCATCTAAATTAGATATAGAAAATTAGGAGAATCCCAACTTTCCTATTATACAGATGAATCTTTCCAAGTTGTAAGATTTTGATTTAGGATTAAGATGGCTTCACCAAGGGCAAACTGTTCCTGACTAATCTAGCGATCTTAGAGGATGGAGTGACTGCATCAGTGGACAAGGGAAGAGCCACAGATGTCATCTACCTAGACTTCTATAAGGCCTTTCATATGATCCCCCACAACATTCTTGCTGCTAAACTGCAGAGATGTGGGTTTGACAGATGATGGACTGTTAGATGGATAAAGAACTGGCTGGATGGCCACGTCCAAAGAGTTATAGTCAATGGCTCATCATCCAAGTAGAAGCCAGTAACAAGTGATGTCCTCAAGGATCTGTACTATTTAATCTTCATCAGTGACATAGACAATAGGATTGAGTGCACCCTCAGCAAGTTTGCAGATTACACCAAGCTGAGTGGTGCATTTGATTTGCTAAAGGGAAGGGATGTTGTCCAGAGGGACCTTGACCACTTGAGGAGTGGGCCCGTGCAAACCTCACGAGGTTCAACAAGGCCAAGTGCAAGGTCCTGCACATGGGTCTGGGCAACCCCTGGTATCAAGACAGGCTGGGGGATGAAGGGATTGAGAGCAGCTCTGTGGAGAAGGACTTGGGAAATACTGGTAGATGGAAAGCTGGACAGGAGTCAGCAATGTGCACTTGCAGCTCAGAAAGCCAACCGTATCCTGGGCTGCATCAAAAGCAGCGTGGCCAGCAGGGCGAGGGAGGTGATCCTGCCCCTCTGGTCCGCTCTGGTGAGACCCCACCTGGAGTGCTGCGTCCAGCTCTGGGGTCCTCAGCACAGGAAAGACATGGACCTGTTGGAGCAGGGCCAGAGGAGGCCACAAAAATGGTCAGAGGGCTGGGAACACCTCTGCTATGAGGAAAGGCTGAGAGAGTTGGGGTTGTTCAGCCTGGAGAAGAGAAGGCCCCAGGGAGGCCTTATTGCAGCCTTTCAATACCTGGAAGGGGCTTCTTTTTAAGAAAGATGAAGAAAGACTTTTTTAGCAGAGCCTATAGTGACAGGACAAGGGGCAACAGTTTTAAACTGAAAGGGGATAGATTTGGCTTGGACATAAGGAAGCCATTTTTTACAAAAATGAGACAGTGAGACACTGGAACAGGTTGCCCAGAGAAGTTGTGGATGCCCCATCCCTGGAATTATTCACAGTCAGGTTGGATCTCCCTGCCCATGGCAGGGGGCGTTGGACTGGATGATCTTTAAAGGTCCCTTCCAACCAAAACCATTACATGATTCTAAGAATCTGTGATTAAGTTAGAAGAAAAAGCTAAGAAATCACTTTGTAAGCATTGCTTTTGGTTATTTTTACACTTACTTTTATGTTTTTCCTTACAGAATCATGTGGCATGGGAGAACCCATTGTAATGTATATGTCAGTCAGACTCGACACAGACTTTGGGGATGATCTCAGGAATTCTTCTTCTGAATTATACAAAAAATATAAGGCTGACCTTGAAAAAGCGGTAATGACTTTAGTTTTCTATCTAAAGAGGTACAAAGCCCTCTAAGAAATACGGTATTTACCCTAAGTGTCTGGGGAATAGGGTACACTGTCACTGTCTCTGTGGGGAGCTGTGAAGTGTGCAGCAGTGGTAGCTACAAAGTGGGCCAAAGCTGACCTCCACTGAAAGGCAATGTCCATATTCCCATTCATTTTAATATGCTGGCCGACAGGGAAGTATTTAGGAATCTTTTGCATCAAAAGCATGAAAAAAAAAATCACATTATTGGTGCCAGCTTAAATCCACATGAGCACACATAGAATGAAACCATCAACACAAATTTATCCCATGACAGTGGGGAGAAAACTGGGCCTGCTCTATCAGATATGCTACGTGCCCTTATTCACATCAAAGTTGAATGGAGAGTTTCCTATTTTAAGCACACTAGAGTAATATACAGAGGACTTATGTCATGTAATATGTCTTTGTTTACAGTTTAATGCTAGCTACAGATGTTTACCAGGCTTTGTATCGGCAACAGTAACTGGTTTCAGGTAAGTAAACAATTTAATTTTTTCCTGGAAGACGCAAATCTTTATGTCCAGTATCAAGGAGACACCGGTCAGCAAAGACTACATTCATTCTAGCTAGAACCTGTGCCCAGTATATACATACTAAATAACAGTATAATAGCTGCAAAGGAAAGCCCAACTGTTAGCATGGAAATAGGATTGTGGGTACAATTCACTACTGTGCAAAAGTCCAAGAAACATAATCATTCTCCATCTGGATCAAAGCCTTTTGTGGGAAAGACTGGGAAATTCCACTCAAAAGGGGAAAAGGATGCGAGTAAACCTAACATAATTTCCTAGGTCATCAGGAAGATGAATTAGTACATTGACTCTGGATATAACATTGGATCTGGATAACAGAGACATTACTCAAGTTCACACATATTTAAATGCAGCTGTATTTTAGGTTTTCTAAGGGAAGTTTACTAGAAATAGACAGCAGACGAAGGAGATGATGTCACATAAAGGTGTTCTTACTTTGGGAAAAGCTGTTAGCACAACCTTCTTGTATACCAGCACATGTCTTGAGTCACAACAGGAGCCTTCACAGGTGTGCCTTGTGAAGCCTTCCTAGCCAGGCAAGATGGGTCACCACAACATAGAAAATCACTAATATGCAAGGAAATTTGATTCTGGTGCTTCTCTCATTCTTGTATCTGTTTAGGCCTGGAAGTGTTTTTGTGAACTACGAAGTAAAAGCAGGAGCAGCAAGCTTTGATCAGATAGCAAGTTCCAATAGATTTGTACCACGATTTCTACATGCATCATACGAGCTAAAGCCAACTACCTTCACAACAGAAATAACTAGTAAGTTCAAAGCTCTCTCAGTATTTTCCTTCAACCTTTACTTCAGTATTTCTAGCGTGAACCACGTAGCTGCCTTATACTGTTGATTATTTGGTACTGGACCTTCAAAAAACATTTATTTCTCTGGTTGTTTGATTTCATCCCATGCCACCAAAGCTTAGGGCTTACATGAGATGACCATGCACGCAGTACCTCCCACGGAAAACCAAATCCTACCAGCTGCTCTACTGAACCCTGATGCAGTCTTTCCATGGGAGAGAGATGGAATACCCTTAAGTTCACCACCAGAACTGAGACAGCTCTTAGCATATCAGGCTGCCAGCACTTCCCACTTCTTCAAACAAAACAAAAACCTCTTGCAGTTTACATGAGAACAGGTTCCCCCGGCTTCCTTGGCATATTTTCCATGCTGCTGCTGGAGAGTGTGTTACAATTCAGTTATCTGATCAAGTGCCTCAGAGGTGCTGGACCCTCAGTGCACTGAGCGCTGGACTGTCTGTCTCAGAGGATTACTTCAACCTGGTTGCTTGTCCTCCTAGTTTATCTACTTAGAAAGTAGTGGCATGATAACATTTCTGGCTTTCTGCATAAAACCTTCTGGGATCTTTGGCTGACAAAGATAGTAGAAGAATATGTTGCAGGAAGATTGCATAGCTTGTATCAGAAGTAGTGCCCTGCAACTGATGCCGAGTGCATATTAGTTGTGAAGCACCTAGGATTCCCACAACATGAAAGACACCATATGAACATGAGCTGAAATCACAATACTGCAAAATGTTGCTCTTTGTCTTCCCAGATCAGACAAACTTCACCGTGAGTCCTGTAGACATTTTTGAAGGGGATACAGTACAACTGACTTGTCAGATAAATTCAGGAGCTGACAATATGACCTGGTATTATTTTGATCGGGCCATTTCAAGCGGCTTCCCATATTCGATAATGAGAAAATTGTCAAGGAAAGCCTCAGAGTCGACTCTTAAAATTGCCAACGTTACAATGAAGGATTCTGGTATGATTTTCTATCATTAAAACAGCAGATGTAAATCTCTAGAGTGACTAGTTCTATAAAAAGCAAAGAGGAATGTAGTGACTGCATTTTCCTAGAGTAAATGTGAAAAATACACTGTCCCTTGTAATTTTCCAGTGGTTTTTTTTTTTTTTCTTTAATGAACTACATACTGACTGGCATTACCAGTAAGATGTGAACTGACTGAAGTGACTATACAGGCCTGGGTATTCTCAGTGCCAGCCTTCACTGTCATATCACAGGAGAACAGCAGTGACTACATGGCTGTGAGGCCTTCCTACCCTTTTGGTGTGGTAACTTGAGGCTGTGGCTGAATTTGTCCTTGGTGGCCCTTGCCCCCTTTGCAAACATAACCTAACTAAGCAGAGCTTGGAGTTGGAGTTTTTCATGCGCTCATGTTTAGGGCTTTTTGAAAATCAGAACCAGGTAAAGTGGTGGCATTTTACTGGGAGGAGTTACCAGGGGAATTATCATGTGTTATCAGAGCTTTAACTCAAGGTCCCACTCAGTTCTTCTCTTTGGACCGTGAGTTTTACATTCAACTTCAAAAAGGGTAGCCTGTGGCCACATATTTGGGCACACATATGCGAGGTAGGAGTCGTGGCTCCAAAATACTTTGGGCTAAGGATGCCCTGAACCTTTGTGTCTCCACTCCTATGTAAGTGGCCTACTCACTTGGCTATGCCAGTGGGGAAGGGGAACCCACGTACCTAACGTATGAAAAAGTTTGGAGCTCTGATTGATTGCCAATTTCAAAAGGAAGCTTGGCTGCATCCAGGGGACAAGTGCCTGAGAAAGGTTGATCAATACTCTGCTCTCTTTGTTAATACATTCTGAGCAACGTATGAGCCTACAGTTAGAGTGCCAGCTCTTGTGGAGTCCACCCTGGGCACCTATCTCTCACCCATTCTGTGTAGGAACCTTTTGCACAGTCAGTCTGCATTCTTACCATGACATATTGCTGCCACATGGACTATGGGCAATATACAGATCCCCAAAAATACCAACTCAGTCAGATTTTAAGTATTTCAGTCCCAGAGTGCAGGTTTCTTCTCAAGTACCCATCAACACTGAAGCTGCTTAATCTGGATACACTCGGCACCAGGAGTCTGCAGAAAGCATACTGCTGATGACCTGAGGGTACATTTTGATTAGCAAGTAGCAGAGCCACTGCAGAGCAGGGAGATGTGAAAACTAGGTGTGGAAGTAGCTCCCGGCTCCTAACTACAAATGTAGAGGAAAAAACAGCAAAACGTGTTCCCAATGCTAAGATATTGCCTATGCTTTACAGGTTCCTATAAGTGCGTTTTCACAAACAGCAGTCAGTCTGACACACTGATATACACGGACACGAAAACGATAGCAGTATCTCCGCTACACATGACTCCAAACTTAGACGACATCAGTATTATATGCAATAGTCTTGAAATGCAGACAAACAGTCCTCTGCTGTCCTGTTGTATTGACAGACAGCTACCATCACTTACTGGTGACTGGAAAGTAAATGGAGAAATCAATATTACAGGTAAGATTAACAAAAGATTGTCTTTCACCTGCTAGGTTTGTTTATTCTTCAAAGATCTTCTCCTAATTGGCTACCCCAAAAGCCAAGTCCTAGGATGAATACAGGGTATGCTCCAAAGGGGTGTGCGTGTGGGAAGGAGAATGGATGGATGGCGTGGTACAGACTCTATAGGACAATGGATGAATGGCATGGTACAGACTCCATACGTGTTGTGCAGGTGCCAGTGGGATTCTGGGCATCTCCATGAACTGTGCAGACATTGATGCTTAAAACTGTGCCATCCAGCATCATAGCAGCTCTTTCCAAAAACCTTATTTCTGCATTTTCTAGTTTTGAGAGCAAGGATGAGTGCATCAGTCTCTACTACTATCTCCAGAATCACCCTTGGGGTATGAAAAGCTTCTGTGTACCACATACAGAGGTTTGGCAACCAAGAAAGGCAGGTGCTACACTTTGAAACAGCTGCAGCATAGCTAAACACTGAGTGCATGGTTTCCCTCTCCACCTGTGGTTGTGATGCATCACGTCAGTTGAGTCAGTGGCATCCCACAAGACTTTACTTTTAATATGGAAATAAAGAGTTAATAAGGTTCTGAGTAAATGTATTACAAAGAGTTGCAAAATAACTTCAGTAGAAATGCTCATAAATGTCTATGAACCACAGTCATAAACAGCCTATTGCCCTCTTAATATTTTATGGATATGGATTAACTGTTTATTGTTAACTGTTCGTTATAAATGGAATTTAGCAGAAAGCAGGACAGCAAAATGAGACAAAACCTTCAAAGCTCATGTGCACGGTCATTTCCACAGAGGACAGGTACTGGTGTGCAGCAGGTCCTTGCAGAGAGAGGGCTGATCCTGGCCTACTGTAATGAGCTGTTTTGCCCTTGATTCCCTGTGGCCGGGCTTTCCCCCAGGAACTCTGCTCTCATGCCAGATGCATTTTCAGTTGCAGCATGGGACAGTTTTAGTGGGGTTTTCCCCTTATAATTAAACCAGAACCCTTCAGATTTAAAGTTGAATGACTGTCAAGTACCTCCAAATGTTTATTTCAAAATAGGATGACACTAAAATCTGCACTATTTACTCCTCTTTTACTTATCTTACTCATCCTAAACATCACAGATAATGAGGTTAGGCTGAACTAGAATACTCTGCATTTTGGCTTATCCTGAGGTATCCAAGCAATGTTGTTGTTCTCAGATTGGTTTCGCCAGTAGATGCCCAGCACCGTGCTGAGAGACTTCAGGCCTTTGGAAGACCACTGTGAGTGTTGCCAGAGTAAAAGATGTGAATGAACTTCAGAAACGATGAGTTAAAAGACCCGTGCTGTCAAAGGTTACATACAAACCCACAAAGTCTTCCTTAGCTAGAGTGATTGCTTGTGGTTTCCAGAGCCCAGGTATTTTTGGACATCCATAGCCCTTCAAGAAATGTTTATTTCTCTCTAGGATTCTCCAATTTCACTAAAAACTGCACTGAATACAAGCTCAACATCAATGAATTACTATGCCATCCTGAGAAGTCAGGTACAGTGACGACATATACATGCGAGCTGCAGACTGGACAGGGTGCCAGGCGCAGTCAAAACATCAGAGTGACGTACCTCCGGACAGGTAAGAGTCAGGTAGCATGTAACAAACCATCAGCTTTTTAATGTGTACGTGGCTTCTGTGGCACATGTCATTTGCAGGCAAATGATTATAACAAGTGACTCTCAATAATATAACATTTATCTTGTGTTGTCTCAGCCCACGTAACAATATCTTCAAGCATAAACTCATCAGTTTCCGAGGGATATGCTTTCAATCTAACCTGTGAAAGTGATGTGAGCAGTTATGACAGTATCAGTTGGAAAATCCAGTCTGGAAATAAAACAAAAACAGTAGACTGTGGTACGTGCATCAAAAATAGCAAATTTCCAGCCACGTCTGTGCTCACAGTGAAGACTGCCACACAGGACTGGAACGGTGAGTGAACCTGGTTTGTATTGGCTACAAAGGCAATGAAATCACTGTACCAGATCATTTACCTAGCATCCCTAGCCCTGCCACAGTAAATAAAAAAAAGAGTTAAAATCATAACTGCTGGAGGACAGCAAGACATGATGCTGCCAACAACGCTATGTTTGTTCAGTACTAGGGCTCATGACCATGCAAAAGCTGAGGAGCACTTCTGTTGAATGAGCCATGCTTTTTGTGTCACTTCTTTCAGGCACCTACATCTGCACATTCTCCCAGAAGAACCTGGAGAGTTCTGCCAACATGACAATTGAGATTATTTCCTTGCCTCTGAAGCAGAACATCCTGATAGACCCCATTGAAGCACCTATACAGTGCAAACTGCCACAAGCCCTTGAGTGCTGCATAAGTGCTAACACCATGGAAGATTACACTGTCACATTTGTGGTTCAACAAAATGAATTTCAAGTTGGTAAGAACAATAAACTTACAGAATCACTAGTTGCACTGTGTGTCACAACCCAGTCCCTGCGTTTTTTTGTTTCCGGTTAGGTCCGTGTAACCAATTCATATTTACTGCTATTATGACAACCCACAAGCACTCCTGAGAGTGTAAAAAACGGGTAATGGACTTTTTTTAGGATGGTTGCTATGCCTGGGGATCATGGCTGAGATTAATAGAAGAGCAACTGAAGTCACTGCTGTAGTGATAAATACATAATAGGTAAATTCGATGTTTGGTTTGCCTTGCCAGGCAGTGAGAAGTGAGCATCCTCATCATTGTTCAGACGAGAAATTGCTGAACTCCATTTATTTGCTTTTATCTTCCACTCTGCCACTTTTTTGAACTGAGTATCAAGGAAACCCCTGAAAGGAGGTTGTAGCGAGGTGGAGGTCGGTCTCTTCTCCCAAGTAACAAGCGATAGAACAAGAGGAAACGGCCTCAGGCTGCGCCAGGGGAAGTTTAGGTTGGATATTAGGAAAAACTTCTTCACCGAAAGGGTGGTCAGGCATTGGAACAGGCTGCTGAGGGAAGTGGTTGAGTCCCCATCCCTGGAGGTATTTAAAAGAAGGGTAGATGTGGTGCTTAGGGACATGGTTTAGTGGTGGACTTGGCAGTGCTGGGTTAACGGTTGGACTCGATGATCTTAAGGGTCTTTTCTGACCTTAATGATTCTATGATTCTATTCTTATTCCTTAAGAAGATAATCTACTAATTCATGAAAAATGTATAACAACACTTTAAGAATGCAATTCAGAGAAGTATTCTGATTTCTTCAAGGATAGAGGTAACATATCTTCAGCAGCACAAAAGCCTAAGCTTCTATGTCTTCAAATTTAGGGCAATTCTGCAGCTTCCCCGGCATGTTTTTATATACTAGACGTTTTCAAGTGGGTTACAAAACAGTTAATTTGAAAAAAGCAAAGGAGAGCCACCTAAACTAACTCAGAAAGCACGCAGGAGTGTAAAAACAACAGGCTGAAGTGTAAAGCAGGTGGAGCTGAGGGGTCCTTCGGCTGCTGAGAAAAATGCCAAGATCTTGTTGGAAGAGGTTGCAGTCAGGGACCCTCAGGCACAGGCATACTGAAAAGCAACGGGACTGTGGTGCAGATCCTGAGTTCAAAAGAACCATATAAGAACAGCAAAAAAGTATCCTAGCCTAAATGAAACACCTGTGGTAGAAGCAGAAGCAGAAAAAGTATTCTCCAAAATGGTTTCTAAAGCAAATTTTGCTTCCTGCAGAGTAAAGGAGGGTTTGGGCAGGATTTGCTCGTACACCAGTAGTTGAAAAGGCACTGATCATGCAGCAGCTGCCAGAAGATTTATTAACTGGGGAGTAAGAGACAGAATATAAAAAGGAAGTTTTTTCACAAAGGAAGTTTTTTTTCTCTAAGACCCACAGAAAAGAAAGTCTTGCAGATGCTTTCTGCTGTCTGCTAGCTGATTGACCCCAAATCTGTGTTAACCTATCTTAACCCTTCCATACAGGGAAACAGAAAAAAGGAAATTTGTTTTGCTACATGTACAATTACACAGAAACAGAATGCAGCAAAGAGAAAAATGTCACGGCACATTGCAAGTTTATTAACAACATTGAACAGGAAGTCAACAGTGAAAATATAACACTGCGCCTGATACTTGGTAAGACAAAAATTTCTATTTAAAGCTGTTAAATAGGAAATCCAAGTATCTTTGTTAAATCAGATGCCACAAATTTATCACTGGTGACACCTAACAGGAGCAGGTTTTTTTAGCCAAGAATTTTTGTCTCCTTCTTTGACAGGAAATTTTGAAATACAGAGGAAAATATCAATTTTGCTGTAATTTTAAAAAATAAATAAACAAGATGTTTTGTCTTCACTGTATTTGACAGTGGCCTCAGTATGTTCCCAAGCAGTTGTAGTTCAGTCATCTTCTGTCCCTACTTCCTTCTGGCGTAACCTGCACCACTGAGCTTCATCTCCTGTGTTGAAATGTGGTCATGCAGCTCCCAGCTTGCACCAACAATTTAGCAAGGGTAAAAGATTGTGGCGCCTCAGGAAGAAGCTCAGGAGGTCAGCCTGTAGGAGAGCATATCCACTTTAAACAAAAGAATGGCAGCCTCCATGAGGTGTTGCAGAGACCTGGGCAGACCCAGCTTCCAGTCAGCTCTGCAGGAAATGCTGGGTAATTACAATTCAACGTTGCTAAATCCAGTTTTGTTGTTTAGTTCTGACCAGAGTTTGGATATTTCAGCTTCTTATTCTGAATCGGAAAGAAAGAAATGTTGGACATCCCCATAATGCAGAAATTTTGTTTTTTTCCACAGTAGTGATGTCTACTGTTGAATCACTGTATCTGGCCAGATTTCACTTTCTTAGGCAATAAATATGCAGACGCTTTATTTACTTTAATCAGCAGATACTTACGGATATAACTAATCCAACCAAAAGTGTTGAGGCCTTAAGATCTTAATGAATTTCCTATTAGAAGACCTTATCAAGGTCTTAAAGAATTTCCTATTAGTGCTGCAACAGCACTGAGTCTCTTAGCAGAATAAACTTTGTGTGAATTACTGTTCACATAGGGGTCAATATAATCCCACTCCACCCTTATCTAATCATGTAATCTAACAGACAGATCCTAAAACTTTGGGTATTGGTTTGTTGATTTGATTCAGTACTCAAAAGCAAGGGGCTTTATTCAATTTTCTTTTTAATTTCATTATTCCAAAAAATTGGGAATGCAAGACATATACATCCTGAAAGGTCATAATCAATGAAGAGAGCAAGCTGAAATCCTAAATAATTTAAAGACCTCTGAACTTCAGGAGGTCACAGGTTTGATGGGGGTAAATTATTCATCTCCCTGCTTCTTAGTTTTCTACGTCTATGTCTTTTTCTCAACACAGGTAAGGAAGTTTCCTGCTCAGACAGCTTTGGCACTGGAATAGAAGGGGCCACATTAATAAAGCCATGCTGTGAGTTAAATAATCCAGATGGTTTTACCAGAGGCAATAAAATTTACAAGTGCTCCAAGAAATCATGGATGATTGAAAGGAATGACTGCCTGTCTGTACCAGTAAACCAACTGCTGACTAGTGCCAAGGTAATATTTATGAGTTTTCTAGAGGTTGGGGCGGGGGAGGGAAGGAGAGAGCAAAATTTTTTGTTGGATGTTTTTTTGCTTAACATAATCTAAAATATATGAAACACTAAAAAATCAAATATTCAATTAAAACTGTCTTTTAAAGGATGTAAAGAATGATTGGATATATCTATACAAGTCAGTGAAAGAGACTAGGTCCCCTTCTCTGGCCTAGAGCACATGTGGCACTGCATGGCTAACATCCATACACATGGACGCTCTCTCCCCCAGACAAGGTGACCTTATTCAGAGCGTCCAGCAAGAGCAATCACTGGCCTGGGGAGTTCTCTGAACCATGCTCAGGCATTGCCTTGGTGAACGCTAGTTGGCACAAGCCCAACGCATGCTACAGAGTACACTAACAACCATGCAATAGGGACAACTCTGGGCCACTGCCCAACCTCAGACCCAGGCCCTGTTTACCATGCCCCCTCAGCATGCTACACTTCACAGATAGGTGCTGGGCCTCGGCTTTCAGCCTAGGTATCCTATCACAGCACTCTTCACTTCTACAAACCATCCAGAGTCACCCTTCTCTCAGTGAGGTTAGATGAGAACAATTATCTTTCTTTCATCAAATATGTTTATTTTAGTAAATTAGGCACAGCAAGGTCCCAGGCAGAGGTACAGCTACTCAATTATGTATTTTTTTAACTTGCTAGATTGCTCCCTCATATGATTTGGGCCCAGGCCAACTATTTTCTCCCCCTAAATTTCCAGGAGCACTCTGAGAATTAGCACAGATGAGAGATCACTCTCAATATGCAGTTAGGATACCCTGTTCTGGAAGGTCAGAGAGTTGAACACTACCAGCATGTCTAGAATGACCCTGGCTCTGTTTATTTTACTAGTATAAGGGTAGCCATTATGGAGGAGGATCAAGCTCCAGGCAAATTGCACACATGTGATGTACTGTTATCTTTTGTTCCAGAACTTGGTCAGCAGTCCTGAGGCAAAAGCAAACCTACCTAACTACCTTGCAGAGCTTAGGAAAAAGACAGAAAAAGAACAAAGCACAATAAACAATTCTCCTGCAGACCTTGGAGCAATCGTTACCATCCTGGATATGATCTCCTCTATCCCAGCAGATGCGGAAGAGGACAATATTCAAGTAAGGTTTTATTTTAAGTCTTGCCTATACTTATCAAGCCCTTTGGCCCCTTTTGTCACAGAGGATGACATACTTCCTGAAGAGATTTCACAGTTAGCTAGGGTCAGAAACAGGAAAGTATTAATGGAATGAGATGAAATGACAGCAGAGATGAAATGACAGCAAAGATACAGAAGAGTTTATGAAAAGTCAAAATGATGAAGACAAGGAGCCTATGCATGAAAGAGACACTGCTGTATTCTTAGCAACTAGAAATCTAGGGACTCGTAAATGTCTCTAGCATTCTAAGTTACAGGAAAGGACAAGGAATTATGGATGAAAAATGGGACATGAGCCAGCAATGTATATTTGCAGCCCAGAAAGCCAACCATATCTTGGGCTGCTTAAAACAGAAAAATGGCCAGCAGGTCGAGGGAGGTGATTCTCTTGCTCTACTCTGCTTTTGTGAGACCCTACTTGGAGTACTGCGTCCAGCTCTGGGGTCATCAGCACAGGAAAGACATGGACCTGTTGGAGCAGGGCCAGAGGAGGCCACAAAAATGGTCAGAGGGCTGGAACATCTCTGCTATGAGGAAAGGCTGAGAGAGTTGGGGTTGTTCAGCCTGGAGAAGAGAAGGCCCCAGGGAGGCCTTATTGCTGCCTTTCAATACCTGGAAGGGGCTTCTTTTTAAGAAAGATGAAGAAAGACTTTTTTAGCAGAGCCTATAGTGACAGGACAAGGGGCAACAGTTTTAAACTGAAAGAGGGTAGATTTAGTTTGGACATAAGGAAGAAATTTTTTATTATGAGGGTGGTGAGACACTGGAACAGGTTGCCCAGAGAAGTTGTGGATGCCCCATCACTGGAATTATTCACAGTCAGGTTGGATCTCCCTGCCCATGGCAGGGGGGTTGGACTGGATGATCTTTAAAGGTCAAAACCATTCTGTGATTCTATGATTCTATGAGTAGGAGCAGAAATAGAAAAAAAGGGTTGAAATAAGGATAGGGATCAAGCAAGGAAAATCAATTAGATATTACACCAAACGAATGCCAAAACATCTTAGAAATACTTGGGAACCTTGATTGTGAGGTATACAGGAAAAGCACTGCTCTTCTGAGCAGAAAAGTACAAAGATACTTGACATTTTGTAGCTGGAGAACCCTACATGAGAGAGAGCGAGAAATCAAAGATAGCACAAAGGCTGAGAAAGAAGGGAAAGAAGGCTGGAGAAGAAAAAATACTAAGTCGTATGTAAACAAAACCCATGCAGCTCCAGTTTTGGAAACCTTAACTTGAAAACAGAGCATGCAGAGGGTTAACAACTGAAGGTTTCACATGGATTGAGCAAAATAAGAAAATGCTGGACTTTTTCAAAAAGCAATTCTAGGACCACGCAGAAATTATCGTCAGAAACAGCAATGATTTCTATGGGATTTCAGTAACAGCATTATTCTGTTGTTGTTCCAGAATTTCCTCTCCACGGTGGACTTTATTGTTGATGATTCCACAACTGAAGTTTGGGAAGAACTGAATAAAGAGGAGACACCCAAAAGTTCTTTGTTACTGTATTCAGTAGAAAATTTTTCCCTGCGCCTCCAACCAGTTAATAATATCATTCCTCCTGTCTCTGCAAAGACCCTTCAGCTGCAAGGCATAGTTGTCCCAGAAAATAGCAACACAGATTATAATAAGACCTTTCACAGTACAGAAAACCTCACAGTTAATGTGCTCATTGGTGAAACTGAAATTCAGACTCTAACCCAAAATTCAACCATTGTCAGTGTGATGTACTCAAAACTTGGACGTATTTTGCCCCGGAATGAGTCTGAGTATGTGAACGGCTTACTGATAACAACAACTGTGAGCAGCAACAGAAGCCAGAAGTTCGATATTAATATGACCTTTGCAAAGAAAAACCCATCTCTAATGATGCCCCAGTGTGTCTTTTGGAACTTCACACTCAACAAAGGTATGGCGGGCTGGGATACTCATGGTTGTACACCCACAGAGGTTGAAAATTATGTCATTTGCTCCTGCAATCACTTGACATCATTCTCCATTCTGATGTCACCTGATAAATCCTCCCAAGTAATCTTTGAAGATTATATTACCTACATTGGCCTGGCCATTTCAATCTTGAGTTTGGTGGCCTGCCTTATAATTGAATCCTTAGTCTGGAAATACGTGACAAACAACACAACCTCCTATATGCGCCATGTCTGCATATTCAACATAGCTACATCGCTCCTGATTGCTGACGTTTGGTTCATTGTCACTGCCTCCATCAATGACCAAAACCGACAGATGAGCAGAGGTATCTGTTTTGTGGCCACCTTCTTCATCCATTTGTTCTACCTGTGTGTCTTTTTCTGGATGCTCAGCCTGGGCCTCATTCTTTTCTACAGACTGGTCTTCATTTTACATAACACAAGCAAGACTGCTCAGAAAGCAGTGGCATTCTGTCTGGGATATGGGTGCCCCTTTGTCATTGCAGTCATCACCATCGCTGTCACACTGCCGGGGAACAGTTACACCAGAAAGGATGTCTGCTGGCTCAACTGGAAGGACAGCAAAGCTCTCTTGGCCTTCGTCATACCTGCCCTGATCATTGTGGCCATGAATTTCTTCATCACCGCAGTTGTTATAATAAAAATACTGAGGCCAACTATTGGGGATAGGTCAAACAGGCAGGAGAGGAACTCTCTGTTTCAAATTTGCAAAAGTGTGGCCATCTTGACACCACTGTTAGGCCTCACCTGGGGATTTGGCCTTGCCACTGTCATCCAAGGCAGCCATCGAGCTTTCCACATCCTCTTTGCTCTGCTCAATGCTTTGCAGGTGAGTTACACATATGTATGGTTTTGTTTCCTCTATGACCATTTAACATGTAGTGACATTCTTGCAGTGCTGTGCTTGGAGGGGGAATAAAAACAGCTTGGGAAAGCTCAGGGTTGCCTTACACATCCTTATTCCCAAAGGGCTCTTTGGGAAACCCATTCCAGGAATTCAGCAGTATTTCACATTCTCAGCTGCCTTAACAGATGCGTCTTATAGATAAAGACAACATAAAGATAACTTCCAACTTTGCCAGTAGCTTTGGAAAGAACTTCATTCCTGAAGATCAGGAAAATAGCCCTATTATCTTCAGGTGGGCAAGCTTCAGCATGTCTGGTCTCATTTACAGTGCATCTGGAGGCATCATATTGTGCTCTTGTGGGTTCAAGTAATGGAGGAGTATAAACAACATGAAAGTCAAAGAACAGCTGAGTAGTACTAATAATAAAGAGAATAACTGATCAAACTACACATGAATGAGAGTTTTCAGTTAGTATAATTTTTACAACAACATATTTAAGTGGCCAGTAGGATCCCAACACAACGGGATTTCTTAAGGACACAATAGTTATGTATACTCTGTCTCTTAAGAACAACCTCAAAATTGTACGCTTCAGACCAAACTCACTTGCCTTTTACATTGTAAGCCTCCTAGCTTACCTGGGGAGCATAAGCAGGGTATGTCTTCCATACACAACGGTCCCTTCTTCCAAATATGTTTAGTGCTAGCAAACTATCTGTGTCACTTTTGTAGACCAGATATACACACAGTTTAAGCGGGCCAGCCCTGGAGAACGCCTACCACGTCAACAGTCCATTATGTGAGATGCAGTTAGAAAGATGCCATCTATCAAAGAGTTCAGAGTTTAAACGGTCAACATGGACAATGTCTGAGATAATTATGAGGTACTGCAATTAAAAAGTTGCTGTCATTAAACTGAATGTAATTATCTGTCTCCTAGGGATTATTCATTTTGGTGTTTGGGACTCTCTGGGACAAAAAGGTAAGAATTCAAATTATTCCTTATATTATGTGAAAATACTGTTGGAATTTGAACATAATTGGTGTATTTACTGATTGATTTTTTTTTTAACAAACAGATACAAGAAGCCCTGCTGAAGAGGAATTCAATGTCCAAATGGAGTTCGCAGCAAACAAAGGTTAGGTCCTTGACCTAAGAATGTACATCAGAGTTACTGCTGAATAGTCTAACATTCTCCAAGTGTCTTTTAACTCAAACGCACTTTATATTCTGAAGTATTTATTAGAACTAGTCAGAGAAAGACAAGACACTAACAACATAAATATGAATATACCCCCTTTTTCAGAAAGTTCATTATTTCACCTATAATTGGTAAAAAATGAGGAGGAGGTTGGTGGACATTTGCTCTAAATTCCACAAGAAATAAACCACAAAATGTAACTGAAACTTTGTTAGAAAACAGAAAATTTCAGTGGCACCATTATTCATTCACAACCTAAGATAAATGCAAAGGGAACTTCTTGGGGAAGATGCCCTTCAGCTATGCGCAGGAAAGGATGGAGATCTTGAGACTTGAACTCGTGAGACAAAGAGACAGGTTAGCCTCCACTTTATGCTGGGAACAGAAAACGGGAGGAAGTATGAATATTTTTTCAAAAATCATGTCTATGTGTTGCAAAGACTCAGGTTTCGCTGAGCAAAAGATAGAACATAAATGAATGTGGTTCTGGAACCAAGTGTCCTGGACACCCTTCTAGAACAGGAGAGACTTGAATTCCATACCCAGCAAATTCCTGCATTTAACCCAAAACATTCAGTACCTGAAAAGAAAGAAATGATGTTGCAAACAGCACTGGATCCTTAAGAAAGGATGGAAGGCTTCTCTTCTCTCAGAGACTTTCTCTGGCCCAATGACTCTTGCACTCCTCTCTGCATTGAAGCACAGCTTGAATGGGTGTCTGGAAATGCCTTTGATCAGCATAGACGTTCACATTAAAGGGGGAAAACCATTCCACTGCCATCTTTAAAAGAAAAAATAAAGTTTGCACAGTGACTCAGGAAAGTGACTGCTGAGGAATACAATTAGGACAGAAATGCAGGCAGTGTTTCTGCTGAAGAGAGATGTCAAGGAATCATGGAACAGTTGAGGTCAGAAGGAACATCCAAAGATCACCTAGTCCAAACCCACTGCTCAAAGCAAGGTAAACTAGAGCAGGTTGCTTAGGACATTGTCCTGTCAGGTTTTCAGTATCTCTAAAGCTGAGGAATCCACTAACCCTTTTGAAAAAAGCTGTGGTGTTTTCTGCCCTCAGCATAAAAAAAAAAGCTTTTTCCTATGATTAAATGGAATTTCTTCCATTTCAATTTATGCTCCAGAGATCAAGACTCTGAAAGAAAATGCTCAGTGGCTATTTGAAAAGGGTAAAACAGGGCTCAGCTGCTATAAGCTACTGAGCCGCCATGGAGCTAGACTGCCTTGTGCCAGCCACGTGTCTGCTCCCTTCACACCTTCTAATCTTTAGGAGCTCCTGGTTCCTCTCTCCATCCATCCTTCACCTCCACAGATCTCAGGGCACCATAGGCCTTTCATCCAAAATGCCTAAAGGGAGGCAGAGCTATTTAAGACACAAGAACATGCTGCCATGGGGACAAATGAGCTTACTTAAGTTCCAGAAAGATATAGCCCAATTGGAAAGATGCAGAGCAGAACAAGTATCAAGGAGGTGGGACGACTGCTGTGCTAGAATGACATAGGACTCTTCAGCCTGCACAACTGATGGGGAATTTTGAGTGATGTATGCTGCTATGAGGCCACGGAGCAAATAAGCCATCCGGTTTCATAGTTAAGGGCCAGGCCTGGCCCTAATGAGTGGCACATTCAAAGCAAGCAAAGGACATTTAGACCTCCTTGCTCCTGGACGTTGTGGATGTTGGCCACTCTCCTAGGTTTCCTTATAGTTTACTTCATTTTGTGCAAGCTTAATAGGCCACTAAGGGCTATGAAACACCAAGGGCTTGCCTCTGCCTCCAGAAGTCCCTGTACTTCTGACAGCCAGAGGTGGAAAGAACATCCAGAAGATGTGCTGCTACAAGATTGCTTTGCTTTCCTAAAACTCTTCCCTAGGGCCTCTGCTGTAGCCTTCTTTGGATAAGAAGTGATTGGGCTAGAGGATCCTTGGATCCAACCAAGTGCCGATCTGCTTATAGCGTTAAGCAACCACTACCCATTCAAGGGGTGAAGGAGCGGTCTCTCAGTGTGAACAAAGGAGTAAAACCACAGAATTAACTGCTTTTACAATGAGGCTTGACAAACCTCTAAAGCCGAGTATAGGAGGGTGACCACACAGAGGGGTCATAGCCTCAGTGACCCAGGACGTGTCTTACAGCCCTAGGGGAGGGCCAAGAGCTGAGGCTATGGACTAATATTCACCTCACAAAGAACTCCCCTGGTTGAAGACATGTTGCGGCTACAGAGTTGTTTGTTATCCTCTTCTTGCTGATGCCAAAGGTGTGTTCATCACTACTTCTGCACAAGAGGGGCCACATTCCCAGACAAAGAGTAGAGAAAAGTTTCAGCTGACAGGAATAAAATATCTCTATCTGGGATGGCTGCATGAGGGTGGATAACTGTGTATTCTAACACAGAAATGCTTGTTTCAACTTACACTTTTGCATTCATATTCCCTTACTAAAGAAGCCATGCCAGGATGGGTAAGGGATTGAAGGCATCAGAATCTAATCATTGGCACTTGGGGTGGAAAAAGAAAATGGTGGTAAATGCTAGCATCACTCTTATATGACAATAGGGCTTAGTTTTATATTCATATCTGAACAGGGTTTATTCAGAAAAGCCTGTAGAGGTATTGCTAAAGAACTGGGAAGCAGACTTAAAAACCAGCATCGTTAAGATAAATGAGTACATAGCCTCAAAGGAATTAAGGAGTCCATTAAGACTGGACTGTCAGCCCAGAGGAGCAGCATTGGCTTGAACCACTCCAGCTACCACAAGAAACACAGAATTGTTGAAGTTGGAAAGCACCTCCAGAGATCATCTAGTACCACCCTCCCACTCAGAGCATGGTGAGGTAGAGCTAGTGTTGGGTTTTGAGTAGCTCCAAGGATGGAGACTCCACAATCTCTCTGTGCAGCCTTTTTCTGTGTTTGACCACCCTCACAGTGAAAAAGTTTCTTCTTAAGCAGCATTTCCTGTGTTTCTACTTGTTCCTACCAGCTCTTGTCCTTTCACTGGGCACCAGTGAGAAAAGTCTGGCTCTGTCTTCACTCCTTTCCAGTCAGATGGCCCCCAGCATGTCCTAGTGCATGGGGTTGTTCCTCCCCAGGGACAGGAGGACTTCACCTTTCCCTTTGCTGAACTTCATAAAATTCCTGTCATCCCATTTCTCCAGCCTGTTGAGGTCCCTCTGAATGACAGCAGACTCACCTGATCTATCAGCCACTCCTTCCAGTTTTGTATCATGTGCAGACTTGGTGAGGGTACACTTTTCACATCATCTGTATCATTAATGAAGATTTTAAAACAGTATTGGACCCAGTACTGACCTCTCCGCATGTCCCCTCCAGCAATGGCCTGAAGCCCCAGGAGGAGGCAGCCTGTGATTAGCCAGGCAGAGCGGTGCTGTAAGTTTTAAGTGTTCCAGCCATCTGCTACATGCAGATCTTGTGTCCAGATGAGGCAGGAAAGATGCAGTTTCTGCCTCACGCTTCCTCATTTAGGGTCCCAGAATCATCTACCTGGATTTTTTTAACTGGTACTCCAAGTATTCCAGCATTTTCTGCAGGAGGATTACTCCTGAGAATCCAGGTCTGGGATCATTTCCTAATACATTTTTAAAGCGCCATTCCTTCCTTCTGACTTGAAAATGACATCTGCTTGACGTGGTGCTATTCTGACTGTGGGAAAAAATCCTGTTTCCCAGGAAACTAGAAGAAAGGTGGGAATAACTGATACAACTATCATTAAGCATGTCAGGTTCTTCATCCCCTCCTGTATTGACACATCCAGCAGAGTAAACTAGAGAGAACAAGTTGTTAAGTCTTGGACCCCAATTCTGAATTCCTTTTCAGACAAAATCTGGGCCAGACACTTCCAACTCTAGTTGACACTGTGGAAGCTGTCCCAGGCAGTGGGAACTGGCATATTACCATGGCAGTTCTTCTGATAAGGAATAAATAAAGCAAGATCAAAGTCTTTGATCAAACTTTTTAGATGTGGTTCGTTTACCTTCTTCCTCTACCACCTTATGATATAGGTGACAATGCACAAAACTGTCTAATTTCCCCCACCATGGTAAAACCTAATGAATGGAGAGGGATTGAACAGAGAAAGACGTGTTTTCCATACCTTTTTTTAACACATCTTTTGAAGGAATCCCATTAAATTCTCAAACCACTCCAGAACCAAAAAAGAAACTTCATTTCAGCAGCAAAAAGCTTCTTCCTTCCCATCTGGACTGCAGAGAGCTGTGTTCCAATGCCCTCTAGTGTGTCAAGTTAAATTTGCCTCTGATTATCTCAGGCTGTTGGCCTTCAATGACCATCTGCTAGCATATAAATCTTAGCTTTTGTGGTTATCTTAATGGATATACTTCCTCAGATAAGGGACTATACTGTCTGATATAACAGACTCTGGAGCCTAAGCCATCTTCCCTGGCCAACAGTTAGAGACATGCTGTTTGTGTCCTGTAGTTTCTTTTAAAGTTGATCATCTCCTTCACCGCCATCATAAACATGCAAACAGGTGAACTTGATGCCTCACAAACATCTAGCTTGTCCCTCTGTGTACTACCTGCTTGTACTACTGAACAACATTTTATTGTAACCTCTTTTTTTTACTCTCAATGTGGTTACAAAGAAAGATCTAGGCTTTTCACAAAAAGTAATTTTCTGTCTTACAGTCATCCTCCCTGATCCTGGTGACACCAATGCTTTCTATGAGCTATCCATTTTCAAGAACCTTTAACAACTTATGTGGGAAAACAGGTATGTGACAATAGATCTCTCCTACTGAAGCACAAACATTTCACTATTTCAGTTATGACTTTATTTTGCAAGAAGCATTGCAGAAAATATGAGTAATTTCATTTCTAAATGTGTAATCTTTGCATCCAACCATTTCTCAGAGAAGATGGTGACATTTGGTCAAAGCAGGATATGATGGAGTTTAATCTAGGCAAGCAACTGCTTTTTAAGAGTCTGTTTATTAGTCAGATAACAGAACAAGAAGTTGGTCTCTGGCTGTGCTACAGTAAGTTTACACAGGAATGAGACTTGCCTACAACTGCCTTCCATGCTGCTGCCACCTGAACCTCCCATATTATCAGCTCTCTCTTCCACACTCTGCTCTTGGGCTCTGCGCACCTGGGTCTTAGTTTAGAGCCTTGTGGTCAACAAGAGGGAGGGAGCTGGGATTCATCTCAAGAGCACGTGTTTTAGATGCGTCCCCATGCTCAAGGAAGACCAGTAAGTCTCTCCATTTGTGTGAGTAAATTACTACCCTATGGCACGATTGTCAGTTCAGGCTGACATATCCTGGCTGTGTAGCCAAACACATTGACTTCTGTGGTCACTGGTATTGCTGTAATGCAGCTAGTGTCAGGGCTGCAGACCAAGTCAAAGCCACCTGGGTCATCAGGACAGTGCTAACTGTCCTTACTTTGCAGTGCCAACATGTCCTAGGCTATCTGTCCTTATGTCTAACCACTATGCTTTGTTTTGCAGGAAAATACAGAGTGTCTTCTTCAGAGCCATCCACCTCCTCCTCTGAAAACATTTCCAAGTCATATTCTTTGCTTAACTGAGGCACTGCAAATGCTAAATCATGTAACTCTGAAAGGACCTCTGCCCTTTCCAAGACACACACTAAAAGCACCTGTGAGCCATCAAGAAGTGGACTGCTTCACTTTGACTAAACTGTGCCTTGGTGCATTCTTCTGGAATAATCATTTTTGGTTAACATGTAAGGCAGGGAAGCTTTGAGAGGTGGAATTTTACAGGGCCTACCAATCCCAGAAGAGATGACAAGGTGTTTCAAACTTGGAAGAATTTGAAGGCCTTCAAGTGCCAGAAAAGACATTGGGAGTGAAGAATTCTCAGCCCTTAAGAGGATGCTTAGCACTATGCAGTACTGAGCCATGAATTGTAGTGCTATATACAGCTGTTGTCCAGTGGCTTTAGCATTTCCCCTATCGACTCTCTGAATGATTCCTAAGGCCTGTGTAGATACACAAGTACCTCGTAGCTTCTCTCCTGCCCTCGTATTAGACTCTGGAAAGGCCATAGGGTATAGTGCTCTCCACTTTCTATTTAAGACTTTCTGGAACCAAAGATTCACAACCGAGAAGGTCCATTTCAGATCTTCACTTTTGACTCAGAAAAATGAAGACTGTGATAATTCCTATTTCAGATGGAATGTACTGAAAGCTCCATGTGGCACTTTTTTGAAGAAAAGGAAGCTTTATATCCTTAGCTATAATTGTCTTTCCCTTGATATGTAATGTGGTAAGACAGAGATGGTTGTTGCCCTCTGTCACAGAGGGGACTGAATTTATTTAATGCATAGTAATGTTAAGTATGCAAGGAGTCTCTCGTGTAAAGTCTGTACGCTTGGGTCTCCTCTCAGAGGAGAATCACACTTGGAAGGCTCAAAGAGCCAACTCTGCAGTGAATACAAACCACCATGGCAGGATGAAAGGTTTTGTATAAATTATTGCTCTAATACTACATTTGTGGAATCAGTTATTTCCAAGCCTGTATACTTTTAAAGGCAGGACTCCTGTCTTAAGCAGAGGGCTATGAGAGAGCCTGCAAAGTATTTATAGCGCACACAAATGTTAAAAACTTGATGTAAAATATGATAGATGGAATCATGACGATTAGATTTGAGGCCAATAGCAAATACTGCTGTCAGGTGGTACAGCCCTATTTGGTTATTGGGGAATCAGGCCTATGTTTACCAGTGGTGAACCTGTTCCCAGGACTTTGGGATGAACCAGGATGGGAAACTGTTACCTACAGTTACACGCATGTGCGACAGTTTGATATGGGCAGGTGGTGATGACTGAAGACAATAAACAAGCATCAATCAAATGTATTACTTATATTGAAAGCAATTTCTTTTTGCTTGAAGATTTAGGTATAATACTAGAACTAGAACACAGTTAGAGATTAAGAAATATTTGAAAATCCAGAATCTCTTTGAACTGCATGGCTAATGGAAACTTGAAAATCAGACCTTCGCACATTATTCCAACCCAAATTTGCCTTTGGACAGCCGTTTGGTCTAACCCACTCTGGAAGTAGCTTGTGCAATATTGACCTGCTGCAGAACCATTCACTCCCATGGAGTTAGAATAGGCTTTACATAAACTGTAAAGTACGAGTCGCTGTAGACAGCACAGTCCCACCACACCTTATCTCTGCAGACATTTCACCTCTGAGGTTTCACCACATCTCCCAGTTTAGCTAAGCGTGGGTCTTGACTGTATGTGAATGAGAAATCAGGATGTGATGGCGAGCTATCTGGCACTGAAGGGCCATCTTTGGGTGGATCGTCAATGGCAAGGTCCTTGCCAGTGTTCCAAAAGCCATGACAGTTCATGAAAGAGAAGCCGCTAAGAAATTAACTGTGCCAGTCTTAAAGACTTGGGACCAAGGCTTCACTTCTATTTATACAAGGATCAAGATAAAAGGGGAGAGAAGAAAAGGTGGAAGTGAATGCTGAATGGAGGAAGAATGGGAAACACATGACAGCAGCCACCCTATACCCCTCTCACCCGCTCTCAGCAGTGAGAACTAGGTCTTTGGCACAGGCAAGGTGGGCAGTGGGCTCACCAACAGCTTGCTCCCCTCAGGAGTCTGGCATTTTGGTCAGCTGGCTGGTTTTGGTCAGCTGGCCCAGTCCTTTACCCTGACTTTGTCCTGGTCAAAGCCCAAATCCCTCCATTCACCCCCCTTCCTGAAGCAAGGGCTGTCACAGGACTTGTTCCCTGATGATTGCTGTCACTCTTGTACCTCCCCCTGCTTAACTGCAAGGCACTAAGTTAAAGCACATTGCAAAAAACCTACCAGGTTCACCTGATCTCTGGAAAGGGTGGGATCTTTCCCTTACCCACCTTTTATAGCAATGGATGAAGAACAGTCACTGCCTTGGTACTTTCCTCTGATTTATTCCAGCTCAGGAAAAATAGTAAAGGAGGGAATTGTGACATACAGGTCTCTGAAGCACAGACCTGCCTTCCCTCACACTCCCTGCTTAGAGTTTTTGGATTGTGACAGTTGCTGAACAAATCTTACATGTGCTCAAGCCCAGATTTCACCCTTCATTCCTTAAAGACTTTGGGAACCTTCGATATAAACAATGCAAAGAGCCCAGGACTGTTTTATCCACACGACAGTGGCCAGTGAAAATCAATGTGCCCCAGAACCAGGGTTTACAGGTGTGCGGTTCTGATACCTTTTCTTTGGACCATGAAGCCAATTATGCTCTGATGTCTGATGTTTTCACAGCTCAGCAGTCTGGCCCATATGTTTACTTCTTACACTGACCCAGAAAACACGTTCAGGAAACAGCTGCATTTTCGAAAAGTCAAGTTAAGCAAGAATAAAAAGGTGCCCCCCGCTCCATGTACAAAATGCCCAGTATGTAAGGTATGTCCAACTGCATGTTACCTTGTAGTGCCTGTGACCTCAGTTGGATTTTTTAATCCCATGAGCAGAAGAAATGAGGTTCATTTCTTACAAGTTTGTGTCCTGTACCCTCCAACCCTCTTCTCTTTCCAATCATCCAAGTTTCCATGGTCTTCCTCACGTACCCAGTCCTCACATATCTCAGCCCACCAAGATTAGGGCTGCCCTAAACCTCTCTCTGCTGTACCCACAGTGCTTTCTGCTGATACAACCTCCCTCACCCACCTTGTTGCCAGCAGCTGTAGGAAACTGGATGTGCTGTGGGGAGGGCAGAGCCACAGAGGTGATGAAGGTCTGGCTGGGGCTCTCCAGGGGCTGGGATGATCACGTTCTGCCCATCCCTCCCTCTGTGGCAGCTCTAACAAGCTCTACCAACCATCAATACTTGGGAACTCATAAGGAGAACTTCTCTGAGGCTTTTGGTCCTCAACAGCTAACAGGATTCAATGCTGTTGAGAAGACATGGGGCTGACAGGCAGATTCACACACAGACCATGTCATTTCTTGAGTACTTTCCTTATAGAAAACCAGGGTAAAGCATGTGATACAATCTACACCAAACCTAGGATCATTTCTTCTAATTTACACTCTT